TATATATATATATATCACCCATTTGTGATTTGAGATGACTGAACAGCTAATAATAAGTAATTTCTTCATTGTAACATGTATTCCAAAATTGCATGGAACGTGGAATACATTTTAGTAAATCTAAATTTACTAACGAGGAATATTAACATTTGAACCAAAACCTGACTGTTACTAGCTAGTGAGTATATATCATAAAATTTCTAAAATAAAATATTGAGCTTTAAAAACACTTAAAAAAATGGGACCTCAAACCCGCTATGTTTTTGTTTGAGAAGTTGTTTCAAGCTTAGTTCTACAAAAGCTTCAGTATTATAGCTTTCTATAGAAATGGCATTCTGCAAGCAAAATTGGGATACTATAGAAACAATCTCTGAGAAGGAAGAAAATGATATTAAGACCTTCGTGACCAAAGACAGACACCTGTCCGTATTGCAAATCATTCATCTCGAATATTAACCAACATCAGCAGGAGTTTGAATGGCAAGCAGACTTCAGATTCACCTCTGGAAGGGATTGTACATACCTGAGTAGCCTCAAGGATAAAGTCATGGATGATGATCTGCTCCTCATTAGAGAGGCACAGCTGGTCCTTGCTGATAAGGGTGACTGTAAATGCCTCGCAGTTCATGGATTCTTCCCGACTTGGCCAGTACACAAACTCATCTTCTGCCTGAAGACAATTGAATCAAATGGAAAAGACATTTTGAATATATTGCTTTAATCTTGAAACAGGTAGAATTCACCAGATCAAAACTTCATTTAATAAGCAAGACCTCAAACTAATTTTCTGCAAAACCCTTCTCTTAAAAAAACAACAACATACTGATCTTCATCACAGCAAATCTTAACCTGTAATTGGTTTCATGGAGAGATGCTTATTTTACAATATTTATAGGGTCCACATTTAAATGGGTAACAATTTCCCAGAAATACAGTTATATAATTGTATTATTCCATAATGTCATATGCCAGGTATTGTTGTAAAATACAATTATCTTATTTGTTTTCTATCTATAAAGCCATTTAGGTGGTGTTTCAAAAATTTAAGTAGTTTTGAAAACAATATTTTCACGTAAAACATCAGTAAATATTCCTTATTGCTGCTTAATATGTAATATCAATTACATATGCTATACCAGTGATGGTGAACCTTTTAGAGACCCAGTGCCCAAACTGCAACCCAAAACCCACTTATTTATC